TATTCTCAGTGAAGTACTGTCATCTGACTTTTAGTGCATTTTCAGACATCAATTACAAAAGCAACTAGCATAACCAGTTCTGCTTGAGCAGGATTCCTGAAGATAATTGATACAAAAAATGATTCATGCAAGCCTCCGTTGTAAATGCACTTCCAGCTTCTCAGATGAAATTACTTATTCTGACAGCTTTTAAGCTTTAAAACATTTAACTGGATAAAAAACATACAAAAAAATCTTGGTGACCATGCAAAGCAATCCAACCTTAGCATATGCCAACATTTATTCTTCACCAAAAGACTAATATTCATGTATATTGTCAGCATTAAAGGTAGGACAAACAGCAATTTAGCTGTATTGATTTTAATTCCCACATTGTTGAAACAGAGTATGATACTATGTTGTATATACACTAGTTAAACAAGTGAGTGCTGTCAGAAGAGTTTTTATAGCACTTGAGAAAAGGCTTATGTGCTCAAAAACCTGTCCATTCTTTTCGTCAGAGAGGAAAAAATGCTACTTTTCACATATTGTGCCTGGCTCACTTGTATATGTACAGCCATCTTCAGTCATGATATAACAACATTCAACTTGTGAATGGCAACTGAAGGTTGAGAGTCTGGAGTTTTCATCATTTATTTACTTATTTTACGAGTAGAAAGCAGGAAGGAAATAAGAACTGGTACATCTAACATCAATTTTTAAGCACTTCACAGTTCAATTACTTTTTTTTCCTCTTCTGTACTTTACATAAGCATGTATCTTAAAATAGCATTCTTTATCGCAAATTTCTTTCAATTCCAGACAGGATTATTATGGGGAAAGTATCAGAACAATGTACAATAAAAATGTATTTTAAAGATTGTTCCCTTTATATAAGTTTAAAAAATGTGCACACAAACACATCATCCTTATCTTTCAGAAGACTATTTAAGTTTGCAGTCAACTTTGTTCATCTCATTCTGGAAAAAAAATAATTTTTCATCCATATAATAAAGGTATCAGAAGATGGAACCACTAACATACCAACAAACTCCCTACAGGAGTCTACAGCCAAATTAGTGGGATAGTCACAGGGCTCTAATTAGTTACCTGGCACAAAGGATTTCTTTGATATCTGTCCAGAAGCAAAAGAAGCTGACCTGAAAAAGGATTGCTTGGTGGCTCAGTCACCTTAGTTCCTGTGCACAAATAGCTTCATAGCAAGCAAGTACGATCAAATGGATTTCCCTAGGTATGTGAAATTTGAGGACTGATACAAACAGAAATTGATAACCATAGCTACTACTACAGTCAGGCTATTTTGTGGCATCTTAGATAATCCAAAGAACTTTTGATAGTCTAAACAAGTTACATGCAACTTGAATTTTATTTTTTCCTTTTTTCAAGATGGGAAACCATAATCAAGTAAAAATCACAATGAAGAATTTATCACCTTTCCTCTAAGTTGCCTTTCAGAATTAACTTAGACCAAGATTTTGCTAATAGAAGCACTCAAGAGCCTCTGTAGTTAGGCAGATTGAGTCTCCTACAATCTATCGACTAATGAGTATTTCACCACATAGACAATAACATGACTGTAAGCACACAATTTGCAGGAAGACCTCGACTCCATGGTATGAATAATTTGGGTTTTTTTTCCTTGAAAAGAAACAGTAAGTCAAGCCTGAGCAGCCAGAGAATGGAAAGCCTCTTGCTCAATAAATAACTCCTGTTTCAAGTACCAGCACCAACAGAGGCAGAAACTGGAACAGGAGGGAAAGCATCAAGCTCAAAAGGATGGCACAGTCTACATCTCCACCCTTTCCCAGACCTGAGGCATCTCACGTAACAGACTCTCAGAAGCCTGTCAGTTTTCTGACACCAGTAAAAAGGCATGAAACCCTTTAACAGGGTGCTGAGTATCTCTTCAGTACAAATCCAGATGAATACCCAAAAGGGCAGACTGATAAAAAGTTAGTTACAAGGGCACACCAACGCACAATTCTTTTGTACATCATGTCAGCAGCACGAAACATTAGAAAGAAGTCTGTCAGAGCACTGAGTCCTATGAATGAAGTCAGATAATCCTGCACATAAAGAAGACAGAAGGAATAAAGTGTACTATGGGATGGCACGGAAGCAATACTCATGATAACTGTGCCCAGCAGAACATGAGCAATGTCTAACTCTTTCTCACCAAGTCTGCACAAGCCCAGCTGTGTAATATAATCAGAAATTCATGTTATGGAGTGACAGGTGACTTGCTGCTACAAATCACTATGTTAGCTCAAGAGATCAGACAGTAGGGTTCAAAACCCTGCTGATTTCCCATGATGTCCAAGATGTAAAGAGTGTTCCACAATGTTTTCCACATCTCTTTGTATAAGTCAGTGAAACACTGGTGATCAAGATATGAAGTCTCAAGCTCAAAAACAGTCACCAACTCTGCATCTCCAAACAATTGGCTTCTCAGGGCACCTAGTGTTTATAGTAGATTTCACATAATGCAAGTGTAACTCCCATTGCACTGAGCTTTAAGGAAGGCCCCAGCACTTCTGGAAAGAAAAATAAATTAAAAAAAAAAAATCAAGCCCAATTTCAAGTAAAGCATACATGAAGAGCTGACAATTAACAGCCACCCATAAAAGAAATAGTTTAGGCACCTTGTTTAATGCCCCACAGGAGAAAGTGCAGACACTGAAATAATTTATTAGGACACTAACCATTTACCTTGATCACAGCCACCTTCCACAACCCCCACGTTTCATTGCATACCTCCAAATTCTTCAATACATGAGATAAGGATCTTTCCAGCACCTACTCTTCTGACGATGGAAATAAAATACATACCTCAAGGTAGAAATAGAGTCACAGCATTTATTCCTCTGGCCTAGTATCCTTTTTTCCCGAAAGAAGAAAGCACTGGTGTTGGCCAGCAGGCATCATCCCAATAGCCACATACTGTCACCTCCTCCACTTACACATATGCAGCTTCTTTAGGCACAAATCAAAGGGCTAAAAGCATGCCTCTAAATGGGAAAAAAACTGCAAGACAAGTGCTACTTCATCATTGTCAAAGCACCCCGTGAGGGATAACCTAAATTGGGATGTGCTTTGGGGTGCTGGTGAGGCTTGATTAGTTATTTACAGGGTTACTCACGTCTCAAAGTCTACATGTCAAAAATAACTTCAGGAAAGTGCCAAACAAATTAGAAAGGATTAGTTATTGTCATCCAAGAGGCATTGGAGACAGTTGTTTCAGACTTGCAATCTTTCCAGAAACTCACTAATGGTTGGAAGCCATACCACATAATACTTTAATAGCTACTTTTTTCTAACAAATTTAATACGATTCAAAGCTGTACTCTTCCAGGAACACTGAATACTCACGACGTAAGGTAGTTTGGATCTAAAGGAAAAATATTCACAGTACCAGCAGCAAAATGTTAATAAAGTATTTACCCACTTTTCAAAGAACAGATGACTACATTATAATACACTGCTAAGTGTCAGAGTACTGCAATTATTAAGCCTCTTCAATTGTGTCATCAAAAATCTTTGGTGAACACTTCAGAACTTTTAATTGTATCAAGACTAGCTGTAGATAAAGCCTGAATGGTTGATCATAGTGACAACTTCAAAAAGTTACTTGAACTTCATTTAAATTAACAGCCTAGCTACAGCTAAGAACAGTCACATGACACACCCTAAATTAAGCAGCACAGTCCTTCAAATCAGCATTGTCATTTCACATACAGCAGCTGGTTTTGAAGTTCTTACTATGTGGTCTCTCTCCATACAAACCTTCCTATTCCCACAGGATGTTTTCTTCTCTCCAAAAGAGCAGCTCATAAATTACTAACCACATAGTTGGATTTCACAGGATCTTTCCCCATTGGGAAGGCAGGTTATTTGATTCACTAGCAATGTGCTTGGGTTCATCTGTAGTAGAACCAGTCCTCTGAAAAGTTATGTTTTCAACAATTTTATAATGCTATAGCTTGAGAAGTGATATGCAAAGAAAAAGAGAAGGGATTTTCACTATGTTTTTTTACTCTCTTATGACACAATAAGGAAGGCCTGAAAAGGTTTTTGTATAACCTCTTCACGCCCCTCCCCAGCCCCCAGAAACAGCTGCTAAAGTTTGACAAATCATGGATCTAACTACTGGCAAATATAAGCAACAGACACACACATAAAAACCAGTGTCAAAACTACTTAAGCAGCAATGAAGACAGGGAAAAACCTAAATTCTTTGGTGTGTCTGGTACTTTTAAAGTTTTTCTCTATTCAGGGAACCACTTCAATAAACAATTTCAATTTCAATACACACTCCCTCTTGGACTGTACTGTACAAGGAAAAACAAATTATTCCGTTCACTTATCCTGAACTGTATTATATTGTTCCAACATTTCAAGTCAAGGAATGAATTTTCATCAAGGCTCACACATGGAAAATTTGAACTCCAAACAGCAAATACTTCAGAAAACAAGGAATAGGTGAAACTAGCATTCCAACACAAGTTTCTGGCACTCTACCACATTCACTCTATTTTGAATTTATGTATTTTTAATTACTATTTAAGCATAAATAAGCCAAGGCCCAGCAGAACACAATTTCCCTTCAAACAGCATCTTATAGATGAGTCCATGACACAAATGCCACAAACCAGTGAAAGCCAGACCAAGATAAAGGAATTTGAAAGATTTGCAAAATACCTACTAAGCTTGACTATAAAAAACAAATACACTTTCACATACTTCGAATCTTCACAGGAAATGCTTTATACCAAACTGGTATGTGTTTTCATGGAGTACTCAATGTAATGACCATGTAGAACACATTCTTTTGAACGGCACTGTTATAATGGAAGTAAAATTTCAATGAAGAACCTTCTTTGATACTGTCCGAGAAATTGTGCGCAACTCAAACAAACAGGCTTCACAGGCGTTCATACAGATCATAAACTTAACTGGCTTCTACATTCACCACTAATCCTAACACAGAATTAAACAAATACCTTTTGCGTTTTCTTTGGATCTTTCTGTGAGTTTTCTCTGAGGGGTACTTTTCCAAACAACTTCCATCCCACATCATTTTGTTTTTCAAATCTTGCACTTTGCTTTCTGATAAACAAATTCCTACAAAAAAAAGTTTGATTAAGAAAAAGGGTTGATTAATTATAATAAACAGAAGGATAGACAATTTGCTAACCTTATGTATACCAATCACATACTCTGATTCCTCTTGTGGTTGTGCTGGTAAGCACTGTTTCCCATCCTCAAGAGGTACATCATGCAGTATTATCACCATACTAGGCAACAGACTTGGTTAAGTAAGAATTTTTAGTAGATAAAAAAGATCATTTGTAACTTTCTAAAAATGGCCGCCTTTTTTACCCTCCCTCTAGATCATTCAGCCTCACTCTTTTACAGTAAGACTACAACACTAAACCTCTTTTTGTATAAACATTCTCCACCCGCCTGTTACAACACCCTACTACCAAAAATCACAAAAGTTGTAGACATAGCAGCCTTCTACTGTATTTGATCTGCTTTCATAAAAGATTATTTTTCCTGAATAACCTTAAAAGCAGCTATCAAAACACATTAATTCTGAAGTCTCTCTGAAATGTCTCAAATTAACCCGCTTAAACACCATAGTAACAGTCATGAAGCTAGACATAAGGCCACTGAAAATTACATTACTTCTATTGATGTTACTAGTTTTTAATCATAAAGCCATATGCCAGACCTGCATCTTCTCACCACAACTATGTTTATCCAAAACTGGACATACAGTACAGACCAGTCTTCATGCTTTTGGTAGCAGTCAGCTTCTCCAAGAGCAAAACAGATGTTCTACACCCACGGCATGTCTGGATTATTCAAGTAACAGATTTTCTTTTGTCCTACTGTCTAGTTCAGTGAATATTCAGATACCTCCAGGTTAGCTCAATTATTTACACACCTTGTGGTAGGTTTTTCTGGGAACTTGACTATAGGCTTTCGATCCCTCATTTAAAATGAAAAAAATTTCACTGAGACAAAAGCATTTTTGCTCCTTCAATCAGCAGGCAGCTATAGCACCCTCATACTATGGATGCTTCCAGAACGGCATTACTGTTTTTCCATACAGTTACTACTTTAATGCCCACTGGGTTGACCCACCAAGTACAGATTGTTTCTTATTCATAAAGTGTGGCAGTTTGGGAAATAAAACTATATTGAGCATCACATTCTAAAAGCGCTGAATACACATCTGCAATAGGAACAATTTCGACACTAAAAAGTTGTTTTTCCTGGCCACTTTGGATCAGCTAACATGAACAATATCATAAATACATCAACAGAGATAGTACTGTTTGGAATACAAGAGAAATGTTTAATATGAGAAAAACAATTGAGGCACACACGTCAGAGTGCACTCGAATGTATTATAAGGTTAATAGGGAGCACTACCATCCTTAAATATGCATATATTTACACAAATGATCACATGCTTCTATATCACAAGGGTACAGTTACCTTGAAACCCAAACCAGAAACTTTATCATATTAAAAGATAAGAACAAAGTGTTTAGGTACAGAAATCACACAAGTCAATAACAACTGATGTCAAAGCTAAGCAGTAACTGTACTTCTACAAACCCCTTTCAGCTTTCCCCTATCCCACCTCACACAAAATAAAAATTAGTATAAAGATGTACAGGAAACAATTGTAGGGAAAGCACTAAAGAAGAATAGCATGGAAAATGTAGAAATGTACTGCCATGTTTTCCATCTTTCCACTTTTTTCAAAGCGTTAAATTATAATTCCACAGGTAAACTACTTGATCAAAACCAAAGATTTGCTTTGTCTCTGTAACTAGCATACTCCATTTCAGTGTTATGAAGCTCTCCTGTAGCTCATCGTTACAGCTGTAATGCTACTTAGAGATTTATAAGCTAACTAGAGCATTAGTCAACAAGTTTGACTACACTGCTACCACTACAACTGCTAGTGCTGGGAAAAAGAGACCATCAAAACCAACTTCCAATAAAGATATCTCAGTTGAATTTGCTTTCTTTTCACCAGCAATTCCTTCACTTTGGCAATATAAAGAATCCATTCTGTCTGAGCATTTAGTACCCTGAAGGGCTTCTGCATGTAATTATCTTCTTACCCCTGCCCAAGTTTGTAACATGTATGTAAAACAGCCTGAGATGATGGATTTATAGGATCATTTGAGACAGCTACCAGGGAAATAAAATGCAAACAGACAGACATGAGTTTTTTTTCTTTTTATACATATGTTTAGTTAATTTAAAATGGAGAAATACCAAGCAAGTTCTGAAATATATCTAAGAATAAAAAGGAAAACATGACAGGAATAACATCATCAAAACCACTCCAGGTAAATAGGATACACAATGCAAGACAGGCTGGCTGTTCTTGCAGAAGGTTTTCTTTCAGACTGTTACTACTTCAGAAGCAAGCAAACTAAATTCCAGACTACATACTGTCTTCAGAGAAAACAAGAACTTCGAGCCTCAGGGACACCTGAGAGAGCCCCATAAGGAGGCACACCTGCATGACAGTTCTGTGCACATTCAAATCCTCTTTTGCAAGTAAAAGGCTTTCACCACAGTTCATTAGCACTGCAATAACATGAAAATTAAAGGACTAACAGGCAAGTTTCTCTCCCTATCTATCCACATTAGAAGTTGCTAGCACAGGTATACACAAGCAACAATCTTCTCTGAGGGACTTTAAGAGCGGCAGTACATCTTTATCCTCAGAGCAAAAATAAAGATTAATTGGAATAATAAAGTATAATAGCTCCCTGCTGCAAGTGCCTGCGTAAGATGAACTAAACCTGAAAAGTCAATCTCACATATTTGCCTTCAATTCAATTCCGCAATCCTAACTGTTTTGCCTTTAGAGGGAGCTTCATAATAAGTAATCTGTTCTCCAGTTTATCTAGCAGATGGCACAGGACTTGCTCAGCTCACTCTCCTCTATGTCTGTGTGATTTCCACTGTACACTCTAGGGCACCAGGCTTCTCTTCCTCCCTTTGTACTATTTCAGGGATTTCCAGTTCACTTTTTTTTTTTATAATTTAAAATTTATATTGAACTGAAAGCATCAGGCACGGTCAATATACAATTCCCATTCTGTACAGAGCAACTTACTCTCCTTTTCCTCTTCTTCCCTGCTCTCTGTCTGTGCCTAAGTCCTGGTGTTTTGTGGGTGTCCACACTCTTTATCCATTCCAAAAGGTCTCAAAACTCCCAAAAGGCATAACCTTATCAGAAACCACAAATTGGCACAATCAGATGTAGAACTGCAGACTACAACCTGTTCCTGCTTTGACTGAGGACACACAGTATTGTTAAACCCTGATTTGCCTCAGACTGGAACACGCCAAAGGTAAACCACATGACAGTTGGGCTGGCATGGAAGAAGCAGAAGAGGTGCTGCTCCCTCTGCACCTAATTTTAGAAAACTTAAGGAAAAAAAATACTATGGAATGTTCTCTGGTCTGATTTCTGCAGAGCTGTGCAGTACATCAAGACAACACCACAGGATCCTAATAAAACCACTACTTGAGACTTCTGGACTGAAAGTAGACCCTTAAAATATGCAACTCCCTTGGAAGGAAGTAATGATTTCTGCCATATATATATGAGCAAATAATTCATAGCAAAAGCTTTCATTTCTCTGCTGCCACAGTGCAAAAAGGAATTCCTTTCCTCCCATGCTTACACAGCTCCCTAGGATTTTCAAAAAAAGTACTAAGCAGTCTCACTTCTGAGCAAATATAATTCACCAAAAAAAAAATTCCACTCTAAAAGGTAACTTAAGGAGATCTTACCTAATGGAAAACACAGGTTAACAAGGAACAAAAATTCTCTATTTGAAAAAACAGCATACAGTTCTTCACTCCAAAGACGAGCTCAGAAATCCTAGGGTAAAAGGTCTCAAGTTTAATTACAAGTGTTTTAAGATACAAAAATTGAGATCTTGAATGTAAAAAGGGTTGACACATCTTAAAAGAAAAGATCACATGCTGATCATTGTCTCAGTCTCATTGTCCTCTTCACAACCATTAGAGGACATCATGCTGATTTACAACAGGGATATTAACAGGAATATCTGACATGATACATCATGTCTGCAGTATCATTAGTATGGAGCCATTAAAGTGTCATGGATTACATTTGCATTCCTATTGAACGCATTAGCTATTTTACACTAAGTGTCTGCAGCTGCTTATTTTAAGAAAACTAAGCACAGAAGTTAAATTGAGATCACATTTCAAAGAGAAAATTACTTTTGCACAGTCCCCTAAAAACAGTACTTGGCACCAGACAGCTGTTTAACCTTGTTATTTTAATTGAGCTGTGGAGAGGAATTACCTGCCTGAAGAGAATTTAATTCTAACTCCAGAGTTAATGTTTACATACATACAAATAGCATCCTGTGATACAGGAGAAAGACCGAACAATCTTTTGCTTGAACATATGCATACTGCACCATTACTGTATACTGATCTGCCCGACTGCCTTTTTTGTGGGGAAGAGAGGAAGTCAATACCAATAGATAATTTCAGCAGTGTCAGGAAAACCTTATATTTTAACAAAAACTTAAGAACCACTTCGTTTTGGTTCTATAAGCACTGCTAAGATAAACTTACTGAATAGTTGCCATACATACATACTGCACATTCATATATTGCCAGGATTTATGTAGCCTTGTGTACTGTCATTGTTAGGCTGAAGCCTCAATCAAATAATAATAATAAAAAAATTAAAAATATTAGAACCACATCAATAACAAGAAATCAAGCCAAAAGTATCTGTACAGCATCTATTACAGCTTTTTCAAGTTTATCCTTTTAAACAAAGTCCTGCACCACCACCAAAGCAGAAAGCTTATCTAGTTCAGTCCGACCCTCTTTCTAAAAAGACAGGAAGCCTGTAACACAACTGCCAGCAACTACTGCCAGGTGACAAGTTCATAGTGCTGCTCCACAAGCATTCAAGTATTCACTTTTTCCACATTTCAGCTGTGGTTTGTCCCAAGCAAGGTTAGTCACGTCAAGTCACCTCTCAAAAGGTCATCCCTCCCAACCACTCCCCCCAGTTCAGTATACAC